TGTCTTCTGACTGCTAGTTGGTGCTCGTGGATGCGCTCTGCTAGTCTTCTGCCTGTCCTACATAATGTTTGTTACAGTCCTTACGCTGTATGTTGTAGATGACTCCTGTTTTTTCTTCTTGTGCTACTGGGTCTTTTAGTTTACTTAAGAATCAGTCCAACAAAATCACCCCAAAATATCTTTGCCTCACCAGCAATCGTCACCCAGATAAGCAAAGGTTACCACCAGGCACACAATCAAGCAGTAAACATGTGCTAATCAAGGAACTACCAGAGGAGCAAAAGAAAACCCCCACCCCCACCAGCAGTGGCAAGGCAGGCCACAGTATATAAGCAGAGAGCAAACCCCATCCCATTTTCGCACTGAAGGTGTTACCTACCCCACATCCTACTTGGACCTGGCAGAGTTGTCAGTGCAGCCATTATCAGTATTCTTGAGAATGTTGCAGTTTATGAACACATACTGTTTGTGAAACAAAGGTTACAACTGCGGGAAGATACATGGCATGTATATGAAAAAGATGGTTTTGCAATTAAGATTATTCTGGCTAGATATACAGGGCCAATCAGTGACCTAGGCATGAGGATATAAGAGTTACACAAAACAATAAAAATTCTCTCCATAGTAGATATCCTGGACTTTACCCTGTAGAGCTCTCTAGATTAAAGCCAGCACCTTAGAAATCTAATGGAAGTCAGTGCAGCACCCTCAAAATAGTTATTGTTGAATCATCCTGTACCTATTGGTGTGTGGGCTGATGCATTTTGTACCAATTGCAGTTTTGAGTTAGTCTTCCAGGGCAACCTGAGGGAGACATCGTTGCAGTAATCCAAGGCTTGAAGGGCATTTGGCTGTCTGCATATATCTGTGTATATGCACATCCTCTTCTCTGGCAGTGCTAGCAGAAATGTCTGCATACATACGCACAGACAACTGAAGAGAATTTTCAAAGCAGCCACATGACCTTCCACAGGACGTGATTGCTTTTATGCTTTAAATAGATGTGTTTTGCTGTGCTAATACACTTTGCAAAGTATGTGTTTCAGATGCTTTGCACAGCTATAGCATATGGTTCATAACAACACGTATACAGGTGAAATAAATGTCTTGATGTGGAATTCAGACTCCCGAATATGCAACTTGCACGCCTATTGCTTTAACAGCCCAGCCCGTATTTCTATTTATTATGCACTGACTTTCTGCGCCTATAACCATTAGAGCCAATAGATGTAGAGACAGTTAACAGAGGGACTCTGCACTTTTATCTGCTTTCCTTGCCTGAAAGACTCACTTTGCATATTCCTATGGAGGGACCTCCTATTGGTTCTCAGGGCTTTCCTCATTTCCTTCCTCTCTCAGTTCAGTCTTCTTTCTCTTCTAACTCAGGCCTGTGCAGTTCAGGTACACACTGGTCTCACTGTCTCTCCATAATGGAGGACAGCACACTATGTCTGAGCTGTAGATAGGATTTAGGAACTCAGGGTTTCCTGCCTGCCTATGTTGTCTCCTGGTGACTGCCTGGACAAGTCCCTGCAGTTTTCTTGGGAAGATTTCAAGAGTGGTTTGTGATTGTTTTCTTCCTAGGACTGAGCGAGAGTGACTGGCCCAAGGTCCCCCAGCTGGCTTTGTGGCTAAGGTGGGACTAGAACTCCCAGTCTCCTGGTTTCTAGCCTGGTGCTTTAACCACTACAGCAGACTGGCTCTCCAGGCTTTTCTATCATGTTATTTCATAAACAAAGCTCATCTTTATTTTTGTTTTACACAAGCTTCAGTCTCAATAGTACTTTCTTATAAAAGTTATACTCCTAACTATAGTGCTGAAGAATTTCTCTGTGGATCCTTTCTGCTGTATAAAACTATCTGTTGTCCAGCAAAGAGTGTTGGGCCCAGAGTGGAGAGCGGTTTAAAAATTATGAAAAAAGAGAGAGGTTTGTCTTTCAATTCACAAAGAGTGCTTACCTGTCTGCAAGGTGGGCAGATTGATAAGATAGGATGGACTAGGATCTCCTTGTTATCCAGCAAGGAGAACAGACAATTGTTATTCTGCTTCTTGACAATTGAGATGCTGGACAACAGGATGCCTTCTTTAGTTCTGCAAATTCTTTTCTCTTAGGAACGTAAAGATTGTGTGTACTGCCCAGAGCCACATATGTGAGATGGGTGACTACATAAATTAAATAAATAAATAAGCAAGCAAGCAAGCATATACCTTGAATCCAAGTGCTTAAATACGCTTTGTATTTGGTTTTCTGTGCTTTTTGTGTCAACTGAAAGCACTAGTACTTAAAATTTGCCTTAATGACTTGAAAGCCACCACTGAATAAGAGGTATCTTACTCCCCAGTACAGTAAAGTTTATGGTGATCCATGAAATTCCCACAACTGGAAGGTATCTCTCCTTGCATTTTCTCTTTGGCTCTCAGTACAAGGAGTGGAGTAGAGTAAATCCTACTTCAGGCTTGAGTAGGTGTCTGTCAACAAATTACCATAGGTGTCCATGGATTTAGCAATTTATAGGATTTAATGGTTAATGTAGGGAATTGTTTTTGCCACTTCTGCCATTGCCTTCACTTTGTTCTTAAGGCAAAGTAGGAAGCGATACCTTATTAAGACATACATTCCTCTTAAGGTAATCTTTTGGAGCTACATGGAGGGTAGGGCAAGAGCTAATATATTCTTCCTACACTTCCTTCTTTCTTTCCATTGCCTTCTTCACTCTCAAACAGGAGAGAGCTGACTGATGTCTTACAGAAAGCTTTTGAAATTAGGCCAAGGACTGCATTAAATTAGGCTGAATATACTAGATGGCTCAAGAGCTGCTGATTGCCCATCCCTGATGTAAATCCACAGTGATGACCTGGATGTCTTCCCGCAAAACAATAGGGTAACCTATTCAGAGCCAGGAGAGAAGGGGGAGTACTCTGAGGCCGCTTCCTCAGCCATACTGGTTAGGAGTTGCAATTCCAGGAATCTGAAGGGCACCAGATTAGGTAGGTTTTGATTGTGTGATGCACAGTCACACAATAAAAATTAGGTGTGTTTGTTGGTAGTGAGGCAGAGCCAATGACCCTAAAATTCTTTGTACTAAAAAAGGAGGGTATTTGTGTGTTGGGCAGTCTTTACTAAATAGTATGGTTTTATCGTTTGCAGCAAATACAGCATTAGGCTTATGTGTGTATGTTCACAGAAATCATAAGAGGATATTTTTAAACACAAACACATACACAAACAACCCCAACTTTAAATTTTCCATTGCAGAACATTTGGGTATTTCTTTATGTGAAATGTTATGAGCTTCAGTCCTCAGAAGAGGTTCTCAATTGCCTTAAGTTTCATTCAGTTGTTCCGAAGTGATATTGATCATAGAGATGACACTTGGACTTCAAGATGGGTAAAACTCTACCTTTCTTTTGAGACAGCATGCTATCTATCTGTCTAACTTCATATGTAAGCCAGCAGTCAAGTTCAAAGGTTATTTTTGTATTGCACATTCTTGATCACAAGAAGTACTGACATTGTCTTTAGGAGCCAGGACTGGAAAACTGAAAGAAAAAAAATCTTTTGAACAACTATAGTGAAAGGAGAAAAATGAAAGAGAAATCCTAATGAAAGGTATATGGCTCTGAAAAGACTGTTTTTGAGATAGTTTCAAAAATCTCATTAGTTAGTTAAAAAAAAAAATGTGGAAGGTTTTCTTGAAGTCATTTTAGGGCAATAGGAAGAGTGTTGTCCTGTGTAGCTTGTTCCACTTGAGATGGCTTAGGTCCTTCTGACACTCAGAAATTGCAGGGCAGCTTGATGGGTTAGGATGCTTTGTTGAAAGGGTGTTGTAGTAAGCATAGTGTTACTGTATTAATACATGGTACGTACTGACAGTCAGCAACTTAATTAAAAAATTCCCAACAATGTTAGTCTTGACTGAAGATTCCAGGCAAAGAATAGTTATGCTTTTGTATGAAGCCTTGGTTTTCCTAGGCTTATGGTTATAATAGGTTGTCAATTTTTGAACTATAGAGATCTCTCAGCATTTTGTTTGAGGATAATGGGGTGGAACTGGACTGATTATAAAAAGGTAAAACACTGAATAAACTAAGTATTATTACAGTTCTTTGTAATATACAAAAAATAGACCTGATATTGTA